TTCTGAACTAGTCAGAAATCAGAACTATAAGAGAAATAGCAGTCACACATATGGAAACTAGCCATTTGGTATTAAAAACAGAAGTACCTGGCAAGACTTTCAGATACTACAAGGAGCTTTAAAATGAGATTTTGTACATTTTCCTTTCTCACAGTATACGATGGAAGAACCTCTGAAAAATTTTTAGTAGCTGCCAAGCGGTTCCACCATTAATTGCTGTGTGACCAGAATAAATCCTTTAACCTCTCTACTATAGTTTCCTCATCTATAAAATGATAATTACATCAGTATTTTAAAGTTGAAGAATACCCAATCAACTGTATTCCTCTTGCAAAAGTTTACTACTTAAAAGATATTTTTTTTAAATCTAAAGTTTGAGCCTGGCTCGGTGGCTCAGTGTGTAATCCCACGCCTTTGGGAGGCTGAGGTGAGTGGATTGCCTGAGCCCGCGAGTTCGAGATCCGCCTGGGCAGCGAGACCTCATCTCTACAATAAATCAAAAAAATCAGCCGGGCGTGGTAGCGCATGCCTGTAATTCCGGCTACTAGGAAGGCTGAGGTGGAAGGATTGCCGAGCCCAGCAGGTCGAGGCTGCGGTGGCCGGGAGCAGCCGCTGCACTCCAGTCTGGGCGACAGAGTGAGACTCCAACTCAAAAAAAAAAAAACAAAAAACTAAAGTTTGTAAAACAAGCACTTAAAACTCATTTTGGAGCCCAAATGTGGAAGACCATTCACCCAAAACACTTAGATGATTCCTCCTTCCTCACATCTTTATAGCTAGGCAATTGCTCTCACCTCAGGTTCAAATACTCTAAATGCTACCACACTCTCCACAGAGGGTCACTGGAAGTGTTCCTTCACTGAGTTGCGGGGCTATAAGTCATAAGGCCTGAGAAAGGCTGCCCAGGGTGCAGGGAAGGAGGAAGGAGCAGGAGGCCCAAAGCCTCCTTAAAGCGGCCTCCCTGTGCCCCACTCCCACTGGCTACATCAGCAGCTGAGGAAGCCAGATGGCTGCATAATCCCACTGTCCCTTCTACCTCACACCTCTCACACTTCCAACTGGCATAGGATTTTCAGGCACCTTTATCTCCAAAAACAAGACTATTCCTCAGAAAAAGTGAGAGATTTGACATTAGTTAAGCAAATAAATGTTAATTGGGTAACAGCACAATATACTCAGATAACAGAACTGCACGTGTACCCATTAAATTTATACAAAAAGGCTTAAGTTTAATTTGTAAGTTAGGCACAGTAAGCAATTAATAACAGCTAATAATAAAATAATAAAATAGAACAATTATAACAATAGACTAATAAAAGTTATGTGAATGTGGATTTAAAAAAAGAAGAATTCTGCAGAGTGGAAAAAGACAGCAAAAAGGAAGGAGAGAGACAACAAATCTGAGAAGAAGTCTACCTCAGTTGTCACTACAGAGCAGGAAAAAATATAAAGAAATAGCTTGTTTATCTGTAAACAATAGGTAAATATTATTGAATTACATGCAATAACTGGTGATTAAATTATAAAAATGTAATGATATGTACTGAGCTGGAAAGATAAAAACACCATTTCTGGTGGTCAGCCTCCAGTTCCCTTTGGCTATCTGTAAAATGCTTTAAAATCTATACATAGAAGTAAGTTTTAGAAATTGTATTTTTCACATAAAAAGTCAGATCACACTCATTGGAATCTCTCTTCTTCTATTATATGTTTATTTTTTGTTTTCTATATATAAACATTTTCCTTCTATTGCCCTTAAAGATTCACTTTATTTCTTTTGCATCTCCACTTAATGTTTATATTTCTTAAGCTGTCTGATCAAACACTTTACCACTAATACTAAAAAGAGAGCACTGAATGAATATCCTCCCATTAATCTCAATATATTCCACTTTTAGGAGTCATTAAGAAAAATCAGGTTATTTGGAAGTAAATCTTCTATTTTCACTAACATGGATGTAAATGATGAATTCTATTGCTTACTAGATAACAATTCCTTTTCCTTCTGAGAAATCTATGCAATAATCTCTTCTGAGATCATCTGGGTCCCAGATCCCTAACTACTATGAAATATTGAAATTACAGTGGAAATTCCAGATTATAATAAGAAATTGGAATGGGATCCCTAAGACAGATTTTTATTAATGAACTGTAATCATTTTGCCCCAGACTCAACAAGTGTATCTTACAGTTGTCCTACAGAGCACTTTTACACTGTTTTTTAAAATAATTTATATTACAGTCTGCAATGTGTCACTCTGACACACAGAAAATATACTAAATATGCTCATGTAGTTTCCTATGAAAACCAACTTGACTTAAAAACCTGCCTTAGTTTTCTCAATCAACATGTAATAAGCAATAGTCTTAAGGTGAACCTATTAGGAAAACCAAAACCTAGACTTAAATAGTTTTAATATATTAATTCTGAATCATTCTAAGGATGGCAATAGTTTTCTTTCTCAACTTTTACACTGTTGTATCAACTTTTACACTGTTGTATTTACACTGTTGTACACTGTTGTATCTCTGACAATGTTCCCATCTTAAGAGCCAAATTAAATATAACCATAGGAGAGCCTCTTTCTGTTTCTATTTTGAATTTTTTCTTCAATACTCGTCAGGAAGTATTGAGTGAAGTTATATGGTATGGTAGTTAACATGGGCTTTTGAATCAGACAGATTTAGATTAAAATTCCAGTTCCACCATTAATATAATTTCAGGTAGCCTCTCTCTAAACTCTACTTTCTTTCTCCATTTATCAGGGGCAGTAATACTACCCCAGGGTAGCTGCAATCAGAATGAGATCATGTGTCTGAAGCACACAGCACACAGCCAGGCACATAATAATTACTCAATATAAGGTAACTATTATTTTATACATATACACACTGACAAATCTGTAATATGAAGAAAACAAACATTCTTAATTTGCCACCTTAGTAATACTTTTTTTATAATTATGTCCACATAAAAACTTATTTTTACATTATAATTGTAATGTACAATTTTTATCTTTTTAAACATCATAATCACTTTTCCATATTATCATGTAGAGTTTATTATTACCTTTTAAATTTGTTGCATGAGATTTCATTAAGTAGACTCCATAATTTAACTATTGGTACAAATAATTCTATAATAATATTTTCATAAGGCTGTGCATGGTGGCTCAAACCTATAATCCCTGCACTTTTGGGAAGCCGAGGCAAGAGGATTGCCTAAGCCCAGGGGTTTAAGACTAGCCTGGGCAACTTGGCGAGACCTTGTCTCTACAATAAACAAAAAATTAGCTGGGCATGGTAGTATGTCTCTGTAGTTCCAGCTACTTGGAAGGCTAAGGTGGAAAGATTACCTGAGCCCAGCAGTTCAAGGCTGCGCTGGCTATGAGCATGCCACTGTACTACGGCCTTGGCAACAGTGTAAGACTCCAACTCAAAAAAAAAAATTATAAAATAACATTTTCATGAATATACCTTTTCATTCTGTGGAATTCTTTCCTTAGGATGAATTTCCAAAGCAAGTTTTTTAGGGTAAGCATGAACTCTTTCATGACTTTTAATACTTTTGTCAAACTGCTTTCCACAAGTTTATACAATTTGTAGTTCCTCCACCAGTATGCATAAATGTCATAATGTCCTCTCTAGCATTCAGTATTAACACTAATATCTTGCATATACTGAATATTTGCCATATGTCAAATCTAAATGATTTACATATATTATTTCATCACCCTCACCAAAATCTCTGAAGTAACAGTTAGCTATCTTCTTTTGCAGATGAGGACGTTAAGGTTCAGAAAGTTTCAAAGCTGTCCAAGGTCACACAGCAACTAAATGGCAGTACTTAGATGCAAGCTGAGATCCTGTTTAATGTCACAGTGCTCTTAATTACCTGGTTATACTGTTGCTTTACTCTCCCTCTCCTCCCCGCCCCCCCATAATAACAGGTGTAAAAGGTATCTTCACTGATATTTTAATATACAGTTTGTTGATTACTAGCAAAGTTAATTGTTCTTACATATGTTTGTTTTAAAACTGTATTTTCTTATGTTATTTGCTCATAAGCAACTCTGTAAAGTGATGGGGGCAATTCTGTTCATTATGTTTTTTTTTTTTACCAATTGGGCATGTCAGTACACCTCTCACAAGAGGCCAGGTCCCTTCTTGATGACTTCAATGAGTTTATAGGAGAAAGTGCTCCTTCTTCTCTTCCTCCTCCTTTCTACCCTTTATGAGCTGAATACCAATATTTTCCAGAAAGTTATGTCCATATTTTTTCAACATCACTCACTCATGATATGGCTCCTTGTTGGTTTGGAACACCCTATCACTAGTGAGAGGAAGACCCAATAACCACTTGAGGGGTAACAAATTGAAACAATCTTTTTTTTTTTTTTTTTTTTTTCTGAGTTGGAATCTCACTCTGTTGCTCAGACTGGAGTGCAGTGGCTGCTCCCAGCCACCACAGCCTCGACCTGCTGGGTTCTGGCAATCCTTTCACTTCAGCCTTCCAAGTAGCTGGAACTACAGGTGAGCACTACCACGCCCGGCTGATTTTTGATTTATTGTAGAGATGAGGTCTCGCCAAGTTGCCCAGGTGGGTCTCAAACCCGTGGACCCAGGTAATTCACTCACCTCGGCCTCCCAAAGCACGGGATTATAGGCTGAGCCACCGAGCCCGGCCCAAACAATCTTTAATTGAATCAATTTACCAAGATTGATAGAGACTTTGAGACTCAATACCACTCCCACACCCCCTGGCAGCCCTCTCTTCTTTTTCCACCTCTTCAAATTTCTCTTCTGCTAACTAACATAAAGACTGAAATGTATGGGTTTTTTGTGACTATATGATCCAAACAACATGGCCATCATTCAAAATGTATCTCTTATAACATACAGAAATATAATTAAAACCTCATCGATGGTTTACTAAGCAAAACTGGATTTACCTAATAAATCTAAACTTTCATAATCCTAATTAAAATATGCCCCATTACCTGCATTATGTCTTGCAATATATCCAAGTGCCCAGGCTGCAGCCTCCTTGACTCCAGGGTCAAAATCTTCCAAACATATCACCAGCGTATCCAGTGCTCCACAATCAACTATTGCCTGAGCAAGCTGAGGAGAGTGTTTACCAACTGCGCGTAACACAAAGGCAGCAGCTTTCTTGTAAAAACGCTACCAGGGTAAAAAAGACAAATCCAAAATGAACTGAACACTTACATAAGCAAAATCATTTTAGACCAAAACCAACATAAAAACAGCATTAATATAAATAAAGCTCAACCGTTTTGGAATATAAAAAATTAAAAATATCCTGCAAAATCATTTTGATTACTTGATGCTCCCTCATTACTTTTGATCAGTAACTAAACTGAAAACAAGATAAGTTTTGGATTATATTTCAAATGTTTTACTCTGAAGCATGCACTTGGAAACTATAAAAAATATAGGCCAGGCAGGATAACTTACACCTGTAATCCAAGCACTTTGGGAGGAGTTCAAGACCAGCCTAGGCAAGATGGCGAGACTTTGTCTCTACAATAAATCAAAAAATTACCAAGGCATGCTAGTGCATGCCTGTAGTTCCAGCTACTTGGAAAGTTGAGGTAGAAGGATCGCCTAAGCCCAGCAGGTTGAGGCTGCGGTGGCTGTCATCATACCACTGCACTCCAGCCTGGGAAACAGAGTGAAATTCCAACTGAAAAGCAAGTAAATAAATAAAAATAAAATAAAATATAAACATACTTCCCACAAATTCATAAAAATAATGAGATTTTATGTATCTGCATTATAACTGAAAGATACTGTTTGACCCATGAGAACTCATAGACCCATGTGCAACTAAACTCTGCCAACCAACTAATTCATTTCCTTTACTTGTCCTCAGTCTCTAAGACTAATAGGCCTTTCTTGACCTCAACTATCTTTCTGTGTCCTAAGTTATCCTGAAATAACAACCATATTCCAAGATGCATTTACCAATCATCAAATAAACATAAAGGCAAAACATTCATGATGTATTTTAAAACTTTTCTTGGCAAATAAACCAGTCAAACAATGGGATGTAAGTTATTTATCCCTTCTAGAAATGCTGTTTTAAAAAGATAAATTACTTACTATTATATTAATTTTAAAAATTGTTTCATATTTATAATATTTCCTATATATACAATTATCTGATTAAGAACTAAGAAAATGAAACTGAAACACAACACTAACATGTTTCTCTTCATATTGCTAAAAAATTTAAGCATATAGGAACTATTTGGCTATACTACTCACTCATTGTGGTTTTATAGCTGGCATAATAACACTGTGATGGTCTCCTAATTCTTCCTGTTATTAATAAAACCCAATCAACCCCCTATTTTACATTATGAACTTCTATTTCTTTCATAGTGACTACTAAAAAGTGACTAGGAGGTGACTATAGTACCTGTTTTGAAAGCTTTTTATTGACTTAGTCTATAACTTGATAGATACAATAAAAATTATCGGAGAGAAAGAAAACACATCAAGTGTTCACAACTAATGGGCATTCATTCAACTTAGAAAACTACAAGAACCTTCTAAATGAGGTATCAAAACACAGATTCAGCTCTCAAGAAAAGAGCTAAGAGTCGAAGAGGAAGAAAGTCTAACAAAATTCAATGATAAATGGAACATCCACAAGGAAAATAAAATTTCTGTGACTCTTTGTAGACTTATAACACACTTCCCTAAGATAGATCCAAAACCTTTGTTTAAAATTCCCATATGCAGCCTGGGTGAGGTGGCTAACACCTGTAACCTCAGCACTTTGGAAGACTGTGGCAGAATTGCTTGAGCCCAGGAGGTTGAGACCACTTAGGACACATAGCAAGACCTTTTCTTTACAAAAGAATAAAAAAATAAGGTGGGCATTGTGGCACAAACCTGTAAACCCAGCTACTTAGGAGACGAGAAGGTCGAGGTTGTGGTGACTTGTGACCATGCCACTGAACTCCAATCTGGATGAGAGAATGAGGCCCTCTTAAAAAAAAAAAAAAAAAAAATCTCAGCACTTTGGGAGGCTGAGGCAAGAGGATTGCCTGAGTTCATGAATTTGAGGCCAACCTGGGCAACTTGGTAAGACCTTATCTCTACAAAATACCAAAAACTTAGCTGGGCATGGTGGTGTGTGCCTGTAGTTCCAGCTACTTGGAAGGCTGAAGCAGAAGGATTACCTGAGCCAAGCAGGTTGAGGCTGCAGTGGCTGTGAGCATGACATTGCACTCCAGCCTGGGTGACAGTGAGACTCCAACTATAAAAAAAGAAAAAAAAGAAAAAAATCCCATATGCAGAAATACTGCTTAAGGTATAACTTCCTTAAAAAAAATTAAATCCATTTTCTCCTTACTTTACAATAATGAAATGCTGAATATCAGCCCAAAGCAAAATACCCTAAGATATTATGTGCAATCAGAGAATTGAAGATTGTATTAACACCCTAGTAATTCTAATATAATGCTTACAAGCTTGCAACTGTACCAAAACTATCAAATTTTAAAAATCTAAAACACAAAGCATATAGTTTATTTTTCTAATTCTTACATTTTGTTCTGCTAATGAATAAACAAGCTGTGGAAGAATGTCACCCTTCACAACTGCTTCTGCTAAGTCTTCATTATAATTGGCTAGCCTCCCAAGAGCCAAAGCAGCAGTCTGTTGAATTGTCGGGACCACATCCAGAAGAAGAGGCCTCAGCAAAGACATTACACCTGAGTTAAATTATGAAAGAACAGAAATCAGCAAAATTAAAAAGCAAACATACAATTCAGCATATATGCAGGCAAGGAAATTAAGGGAGCAAATCAGTAAAATAACAATAACAACAACAAAACTATCCACTAAAAACTAAGGGGATATTTAAAAGCATCTAACTGTCCAAGGCACAGGATAATACAAGCTGTAATTATGAAACAAGCAGCATACCATGGAAATAAGAAAGGCTTTGGATTTATTAAGGTAAGAGTTTAAATCCATGATTCAGGGGGAAAAAAATTAGCTATGTGACCTGATAGGGTGTCATGAGGCATGCAGAGAAAGGTTGTGGAGCATGTGGTATATAGCACCTAGCACATGGTAGGCAAAAAAGGAAAAACAGAAAAAAAATTGTAGGTTTTTCCTCCAGCCTTTGCAGATCCTATCTTTCAAGGGTCATTTCAGGACCTGACATTCATGAAAAGTTGCATGAGTATTATCTCCAAATAAATTCCTTGAGATAAAGAAGTATAAGGCATTAGTAGCTCTCCTAATATTTATTCTTGTGCTGAATGCATGGTAGGTATGTTATCATCACCATCACAACAGCAACAATAAAAGTAGCTTATATTTATCAAGCACTTATTACTATATATAAACATTGCTCTAAGGACTTTTGTCATATCAATTCACTTAACTCTCCTAAGTCTCAATAGGGCAATGAAGCAGGCCCTATTATTATGTCTGTTTTACGGATGAGGAAATGGAAGCTAAGAAAGGTTAACTGTCACACAACTAGTGAATGATGAAGCAAGGTTAGAATTCAGACATTCTTTTTCGATAACTGTAAAAATAAATAATATGTACTGAAAATTGACAAGGTAGAGAGAGACCACTAATAATTGCATTTTGGTCATTTTAGTGAATATTCCAACTCTTTCTATTAACTTTGCCTTACTGTAAGTTCCTCAAAAGAGTCAACTGCTCTTTCTGCCTTTTTTTTTTTTTGAGTTGGAGTCTCACTCTGTCGCCCAGACTGGAGTGCAGTGGCACACTCCCGGCCACAGCAGCCTCGACCAGCTGGGCTCCAGTGATCCTTCTGCCTCAGCCTCCCAAGTAGCTGGAACTACAGGTGCGCGCTGCCACGCCTGGCTAATTTTTGATTTATTGTGGAGATGAGGTCTCGCCAAGTTGCCCAGGCAGGTCTCGAACCCGCGGGCTCAGGCAATCCACTCACCTCAGCCTCCCAAAGTGTGGGATTACAGGCTGAGCCACCAAGCCCGGCTTCTTTCTGCATTAATGAAGCTGTTTTAGTCTAAGGTTAAAGAAAGATAATGACAGAATTCAAACTAGAACAAAGTGCCCCTTGATTTTCTAAATGCTAATTTATACCAGGCTATTCAATTTGATGTCATTACATCTTTTCTTTAAAAACATATTCCAGTTAAACATAAAAGCAAATTTACAAATATTATTTTATAATGTTATATCCAGAAATATTTGAAATAGAATAAAAAGAAAACATTTACAAAACAGACACTTGATCTTAGCCAAAGGCCTGAGAAGTGATTACAATAACGCTTTGGATTAGACCAAAACAAAAGAAAGAGTTCTATCAAATAACATAAGCAGAGAATAATGATTATCACAGGCACATTTAATGATGTAACCTGTGGCTTTTCCTAGTTTCCAGTTTCATTTAGTCATCATTTTTATTTCTAATTCATCTAGGTTACATCATCTTCTACCAGGCCATAGTTACAAGTATGACTCCCACACAGGCTGATTAGCTCTGCAGGCACAGGGCTCCTGCCCATGTTTGGGTCATAGCTCATTTAAACAAACCCAATGTTCATAGGTGTTACTTATATTATTACCTATGCTTTTTGACAGAGATAATTTCTGAAATATCTTACAACAAAAAGTTTAAAGCACTGGATAAGGTATTGAATGACTATCAAATGTTAACACAGGTTATTTCAGGAAATTTGGATTTAAAACAATTGTCAATCTCTTCTTTGTAGTTTATTACTCAATTTTTTGGTTATTGCTTTTTTTAAACTGGTAAAATATAAATGACATTTAAAAATACAGTTTTTAAGTGTACAATCAGTGCCATGAAGTAGCATTCACAAATATGTGTGAACGTCACCACTAAGAGCTGCACCATTTACATTTCCACCAGCAAAGGAGAAGGGCTCCAATTTTTCTACATTCTCACCCTCACCAGCATTTATTACTTTCCAGTATATAAAATTAATAGCCATCTTAATAGGTGTAACGTGGTTTCTCATTGTAGTTTTAATATGCATTTCCCTAGCACGAATAATGTTCAGTGTCTTTTTCATGTGCTTATTAATTATTTATAGATGTACAAATTCAAGTCTTTTTGCACATTTTTAATTGGATTGTTTTTGTTATTGTTCTTCTTGAGTATTAACTTTATATTGTTTATAACGACTATGTACCATTTTAATTGAAATAAGTCAATACCCTAAAAAAGAAAGGCTAAATTTGTTGACATATATTTAAAGTTTCATAGTAAATGCATTAATGAGGCCAAAAATATAAAGTATACTTAGAATAGTTTTAAAAGAGACACAATTGTGCTTCATGTTTTTTTTTCTTGATGATTCTGGTATTTCCTTGATATATGTATGTGAAGGTCATTGTTTATTATCTTTTGAAATATAATTGAGAAATCAATTCCTACTGGGTTTTCATATTAAATTATATTTTAAATTAAATCTAAAGGCACTTTGAACTTTTATGTTAAGAATTTGAAGAGTGAATTAATTTATCTGAGGTTATAATATTTTATTATGTGTTTATTATTAATTATAGTATTTAACTAATCTACATCTCCCAATTTTGGAAAATTTCAGTTTACAATTTTTTAAATTTCAAAGATGTGAGGTACAATTCAGGGTTAGGTACATAAGTGGTCATCGTACTCAGTTTACAATTTTGAAATACCGTATTTTAACCCCCAAAAAGGTATTTAACTAGTTCATAAACTCAAAGGAATCATATTTTTTATACATATCAATTTTTCTTTTGTTTTGTTTTGTTTCTGTTTTTTGAGTCAGAGTCTCACCCTGTTGTCAGCCTGGAATGCAGTGGCATGCTCACAACCACCACAACCTTGACCTGCTGGGCTCAGGCAATCCCTTCCGCCTCAGCTTTCCTTTTTATTTTTTATTTTTTTGAGTTGGAGTCTCTGTCACCCAGGCTGGAGTGTAGTGGCACACTCACGGCCCCACCAGCGTCAACCTGCTAGGCTATGGCAATCCTTCCACCTCAGCCTTCCAAGTAGCCAGAACTACATTAGCCAGTGCATGCCTGGCTAATTTTCTGATTTATTGTGGAGACGAGGTCTCACCAAGTTACCCGGGATAGTCTTGAACCCCTGAGCTCAGGCAATATTCTTGCCTCAGCCTCCCAAAGTGCTGGGATTACAGACTTGAGCCACTGCACCCAGCCTTTTTTCCCCATTTTTCTATTGCATCTGGCTCATGAAATATAAGGCCAGTAAAATGACTCCAAATTCTTTTCCTTCTATTCTTATTTCCAATATCAAAGTCAGGCACTGCTTGATACTTCTGCCCTATTATAATTTTTCTATAAGGAATATAGGCAGTAGCACAATGAGAATCTTGAAAAAGTTAAAAACCTCCAAACTTATAGAAGTAAAAGTTAAAGTGTCAGTGTAAAATCTCTGTTTCAGTAATCTTATTTAATAAGGTTATTTTTATTTTTATTTTTTTTTTCATTAATCAGTAGTTTTTATTATGGTTTTGTGGGGTACAGTTAAGGGTAGGTGTACAATGACGTTTCATTCAGGCACCCTGTAGATAAGAAGTGTTTTCCCATCCCCCGACAGATATTTGCTACTGTTAATCCCATCCCCCTCCCCCCCATAGTTTCCCAGTACCATCCGTCATTTTCTCATAGTATTGCATTGGATGTTCAAGGTCCATTATATGAGTGAGAACATGTGATATTCGGATTTTTGTTTTTGTGAGAGGTCACTCAGTATTATAGACTCTAGTTCCATCCAGGTTGCAGCGAAATTCATGATTTTGTTCTTTTTTATGGCTGCGTAGTATTCCATCGTGTATATGTACCACATTTTTTTAATCCAGTCCTCTTTTGATGGGCAGCATGGTTGTTTCCAGGTTCTTGCTATTGTGAACAATGCTGCGATAAACATACGTGTGCAGGTATCTTTTTTATAGAGTGATTTGTGTTCTTCAGGGTATATTCCCAGTAGGGGGATTGCAGGGTCATATGGAAGGTCAATTTTTAGAGCTTTTAGGAATCGCCACACTGCTTTCCACAGAGGTTGCACTAGTTTACACTCCCACCAACAGTGTAGAAGTGTTCCCTTTTCACCACACCCTCTCCAGCAGCTGTTATTTTTTGAGTTGTTGATAATTGCCATTCTGACTGGAGTTAGGTGGTATCTCAGTGTGGTTTTGATTTGCATCTCCCTGATGATTAGTGAGGTTGAGCATTTCTTCATGTGTTTGTTGGCTGCTCGAATGTCTTCTTTTGTGAAGTGTCTGTTCATGTCTTTTGCCCATTTTATAATGGGGTTGTTTGTTTTCTTCTTTTCAGTACACTTCAGTTCCTTGTAGATCCAGGATGTTAAGCCTTTGTCAGACCTAGAGTTGGCAAAGACTTTTTCCCAGTCTGTAGGCTGTCTCCCTGCTCTCTTGATGGTTTCTTTAGCTTTGCAGAAGCTTGTCAGTTTAATAAGGTCCCATTTGTCTATCTTCTCTCTTAAGTCCTGTGGGTTTCGGGTTTTGTACAGGATTGGATGCCAGTTCCGATTTTCCATGAGAGTATTTCCTTCCTTTTCTAAGGTTCTTATGGTTTGAGGTTTTACATTTAGGTCTCTGATCCATTTGGAGTTAACCTTTGTGCATGGGGATAGATAGGGGTCCTGTTTCAATCTTCTGCATGTGATCAGCCAATTTTTCCAGCACCATTTACTGAATAGGTTCTCTCTCCC